CCCCGCCACTGGCATTCCGGTTGCCGGCTGGGCTGGCGGATCGCCTGACCTCGGGTGCGGTGGGAGTTGTAGTTTTTCATCTCCTGCAGACCGTTGCGTCTCCTGGGTATGTGGTTGGCCGGCGAACTACGATTCCCAGCGTGCCTTGGGCTTCTTGTCTCGCGCGATTTGGGTTTGGCGTGCGAACCAGACTCTTGGGCTCCGGCCGTGGGGGCAGGGAGGGACGGGTCGGTCTTCGGGTCTGAGTGTATGTCCCAAACAAGGGATGATCGGGAGTCGGGCTGGAGAGGAGCTTTCCGCAGGGGCTGCTGCGAGCCCTCCGTGACGAAGGGTGGGACAGCTCCGAGTTGGGTCAGTGCCGTCGCTGGCCACCTCTGACCCCGGCTCCAACATGGAGTTTTCCGGAATGGCAAACGTCCGGCGGGTTTGGACCAACTCTTGCGTCACACGGCCTCGGCCTTGCGCTGTGGAGCCAGGGTGACGCAGGGGCGCGCGAGCGGCTTCCCATTTCGCTGCCTTGTGAGTCCCTCGTATCCAGCTGGCAGCGTAGAGGCGTCGGGCTACTGCCCCACCCTAGGCTCTGCACCTATCCCAAATGGCACTTGCAGAATCCCGGAGCCCCCAGTACCGTTACTACCTGCCGAGGCGCCACCTGCTGCCTGGGTGGGGGTGGGGGCAGAGACCACGTTCTCCTTTGTGTTACATTCTGTAGGTTCTCTGCAGTGAGCCCCGCGGATAGTCAGGAGTGGTGAGGAGCCGAGATTGCAGTTGGCTAGAAGTTTAGGGTTTTTATGTCTTCACTGCAAGGTGTAAGTTTTTCATGGTTGGGTAGGGGCTAAAGTGAATTTTATAGTTCTCCACGTGTATATTGTACGGTTAATGAAAATGGACTCCATTTGAAAATTCTGCGAGCTACTACACAAATCTTATTTAGTACTTATTAAACTAGGTACAGTCTTCTCGTTTAGTTTTGTTGGGGTTACGAGAGGTTAATGTTGGACTGTTGTTCGCACATCGATGCTAATGCTAGCCAGTAGGTATTTGTCCACACCGTTGCCACTCTCTGACCCTCAGAAGGATATGCGTTTGTTCATAATAAAAGTAAATATGCCAGTTATCTTGATACAGATTATTAGGAACTGGCATTTTAAAAACTTTCCTATAGGATTTATGGTAGCACAGAAACTTGTGATCATGTATTAGACACTTAGTAATTGACAATAGGAATGGATTATTATAAACCACCTTTTATCCTTTAGGTGACTTTATCACTTTCAGTGTTCATGAAACTCATTCTTTATCAAGATGTAAAATATTAATATATGGTTAATTTTCATGGCACCTGGTTAAGTAAGGATTGAGGCCACTTCCTACATCTTTGTGCTTCAACTTTTCTTCATCTGAATTAAACATTCGAATTCTGTCTAGAAGATCCTTTAGACAGGATCTTGGAGAGGCAGTCATGATTATTACATTGTAGTAAATTAAAAAAAAAAATAAATTGCCAGAAGGGATCCTGCACTAGCCAGAGTGGGGAGGGAGAGGGAAAAAGCACCTTGTCAATGAGACATACTCACTCCACAGTCCTTACTCACTCCACAGTCCTTGTTCGTGTATTTCTGGATCCTATTACGGAATTTTGGCACACATACACATGTGCTTTGTGTGTTTTTCAAGCCACTGGGCTGGGGTTTAAGGCCATGTGGGATCTGATTCTCTTAACCACCAGGCTACAGGGCTTGGCCTGATGCTTCCCAATTTTACTCTTTAATTTTAACTTTTGTTGATAATAATTGAGAATCAGAAAGCTAAAGTCATTTTGAAAATGGTAATGATGCCAGTAACAGTCTTCTTGTAACAAACTTTTGCTCTGTTCCAAAGCTTGCTGGCAAGCCTCCTTCCCTCATTCTGCTATTGGTCCTGCATACCTGAGGGTTCTGAATCCGCAGATTCAGTGAACATTAGTAGTTAGCTATTTATAACTAATACAGAGATGACTTCAGTATGTGGGAGAATATGATTATATGCAGCTGTACAACTCTTTATGTAAGGGGGTTGAGCATCTAGATTTTAGTACAGGGAAGGAGGAGCAGAGGGGGTGGTCCTTGAACCAATCCTCCCTCTCTTGCCCCCATCCCCACCCCCACCCCATACTGAGGGATGACTACTTATTGGCCTCTGGTGACTGAAGGGAGAAGGCCTGTCAAATTCTTTTTTTTTTTTTTAAGAATTATTTAATTTTATTCATTGTCTTTTATTTTATTTTATTATTTTATTATTTTTTGATGTTGACCAGAGAGAGACATTGAGAGAGAGGGAAAGTGAGAAAGCAAGCTGCCAGGTCTGGGACTCGAACTGCTGTGAGTCATGTGGTAGTCCAGATGCCTTCACCGCTACGGCCTGCCAGCCCCCAAATTCTATCTTAAGGTTCATTTGTGACCTTTATCAGTCTTACTGCTATTGCCTTTTCAACTATTTTTAGTGTGAAAGATACACTCAAAGCACTAAATACTGTTTTGGCATTTATAAGGAAATAAGAGAGAGTACTTTGTTTAGTTTATAAAGCTATTCCTGTTTTTGGAACCAGCAGTTAGCGTAATGGCTATGTCGCTGGACTCCCACATAGTCGACCACGGTTCGTGTCCCGGACCCGGTGGCTTAAAACTCACGCTGGGCGCGTGTGCGTGCGTGCCCAAGATCCCGAGAGGAGAATGGAGGAGAAGGGATTGTGGCGTGACCATACCCCCTGGGGGGTGATTTCTCGCTTTCTGTCTCTATGTCTCTCTGTCTGTCTGGCGAATGCACGCGCCCTACTGCGAAAACCTCTCCAAGGAAAAAAAAAAGCTATTCCTGTTTTTGAGTGTTTTGGAAGTTTACACTAGAACTTAATAACAATTACCTCTCCAAAGTGGAAAAGAGGGATGGGGGTGAGATTTACTTTTATTGTAACTAACTGGGTTCTGTGCACAGTGGAGTGAATAGATGGAAAATAATCACATACTTTGCTTACTTATAAGTCACTTGCTTTATTGGAAATGTTTAAATAAATTGCTAGAGGGTCCATGCACTTGCTGGAGAGAGAAAGAAGAAAAGTAAAAAAGCACCTCTCTTCCCCATCCCCCTCCATGGGGCAGTCATACCACAGTCCCTGCTTAGTTTCTCCTTTTGGGGTTTTAGGCACATACGAACATGCACCTGGTCTGTTTTTCAAGCTGTGGGGGCGCGGGACTGGTACTGGGCAGTTGGCCACATGGAATCCAGCCACTTTAACTGCCACGCCACCAGCTGGCCTACATTATTGGAATTTTTAATGACATCTAGAAGAAATGGGATACAAATGAAATCTCTACTATATAACCGAAGAGCTAAACCAACTTATCTGTCTTTTCAATTGACTTCCCATTTAAACTCTTCATTTTTTAGTGGAGAGTTCTAGGGAGCAAATAAAATTAAACTCTTGTACAAGTATGCATACCTCTGTCGTAGCACTTAATTTGAAAAGAGTATTTTTCAGATAGAGCAAAAGACTGTTACTAAGCCTACTAGCAGTACACATTTTGTATATATTTTCAGAGTTCTGCACCATTTATGGTATTTAGAATCATAAAGTAGGTGACTTTGACCTAGATCTCAGATATTCACACAAGGTTCTTAAAAAAAAAAATTAAACCCTTTCCCCCTTGAGTCTTAGAAAGAAAGAATTGAAACTGATTAGCCAAAAGAAGGGAAGTGAGGCACATAGGAATACTCTTAGAAATAGGCTAAATACAAAAAATAGAAAAATTTGACTTGTTAATAATTGTCTTGTGAATAAGTTGACTTGTGACTAAATGTCAGTAAAATTAACCAGGTGACACTCAACTATTGCCATGACTTTAAAATCATGAGGACAAGGGCCAGCAGGTGGCATGGTGGTTAAGGCCCTGGATCCCATGGTTCGAGTTCTGAACCTGGTGACTTGAAAAATATGTTGAGCGTGTGTGTGTGTGTGTGTGTGTGTGTGTGTGTGTGTCCAGAATCTTGAAAGGAGGAGGGAGGTGAAAGGACTGAGGCATGGCCATTTCTTCTGGTGGGTGGTCTCTGCATGTGCCCTGTGGCAAAAACCTTTAAAAAAAAAAAAGACCTTCCCATTAAAAACCAGCAACAACAAAAATAACTAGCAGTAATAGGTTTAAACTTAAAAGGTTAAAAAAATTATAGTAAATGACATGAACTTTTTAAGTTTTTACTTATTTATTTTTTTGGAGAAGTTTTTGCTATAGGGCACGTGCACTTGCCAGAAAGAGAGATAGAAAGTGAAAAATCACCCCCCAGGGGGGATGGCCACGCCGCAATCCCTTCTCCTCCATTCTCCTCTCGGGATCTTGGGCAGGCATGCACACATACCCAGCGTGAGTTTACCATGCCACCAGGTCTGGGATGCGAACCGCCGTCGGCTACATGGGAGTTGAGTAACATAGCCATTATGCTAATTGCTGGTCCCCTTACTTTGTTTTGAGAGAGAAAGAGTGGTGGACACCCCCAACAGGGTCCTCACATGGTGCTCTACCCCTAGTCTTTGCATACAGACATGCCCAACTTGCTCAGGGACACTGCAGGGAAGAAGGCTGGACCCTTTTCTGTATGAGTGGTTGTGTTACCACTGCATGACCACCAAGCCCAGTAGGAAGTTTTTGAGCTTAGGAAGCTAGCGACACTTGGTGTATTCTTTGATTTTACTAATGAAGGAAATTGTCTATGAGGTAACTCAGGTGACTCAAGGTCACTTTGAGGACAGAATTTGGGACTTATTTTCACTCAGTGCTCAGTGTCATTCATGGCTGGGCAGTTCTTTTGATAATATGAAATCTTTAAGTGATAGGCATTTATTAAGTTAGTAAGTTGAGAGAAGGATTCTAGTTCTTATAAACTAGATTTCAGCCAGCTGCCATGGTGCAGTGGTAATGCAGTGCTGAAGCCACAGGGCAGGTCTTGCTTGGGTTTGTGTTTCTAAGTCACCATGTTCAAGCTGGTCATGTGCCCCATGATACTGGCTGGTGAAGGCTGGGCATGGGTATTGGCATGACCCTGTTGGAGTCCCTGGTTCTGTTCTACTGTGGGAGAACTAAGTTAAACTTTTTTTTTTAAAGATTTAAATTTTTTATTAGCAGTATTGATGTTTTTAAATGGTTAGATATGATAGAAACTTTCTTGTAAAGCTATCTTATCCAGCATGCTATTATACTGTATTAGCTATCAAAACTTATATGTTAAACCTTTTTTCCTTCTCTCAATTCAGATTATCTTTAGCATTACCTTCCCTTAACTCCTTAATTCTCCTTAACATAAAACAAGCGTAACAAAAAAACGATTTAGTAATGTTCTTGCTAAGCCCAGTCATTTTTTAAAAAAGAATGATTTATTTGTGCATTTATTTTTATAAATTTGACCAGAAAGAGAGAGAGCAAGTAAGAAAGCAAGCCTGGGACTTGAATCATGACTAGTCATGTGGGACTCTATAGCACCTCAACCACCGTGCCACTTGCCGTCCTCAGCCCAGTCATTCTTATTGGAAAATACATTTGTCTTACTCCTTATATCTGTGACATATCTTGTTCTGGATCTGTTTTCACTGTCATGGTTTGAAATGGTTCAGAATTTTTTTTCATCTCTCATATTAGTTTTTTTTTTTTTTTTTTTTTGAGAGATTTTCACTGTAGGGCGCGTGCGCTCGCCAGACAGACAGAGAGAGACATAGAGACAGAAAGCGAGAAATCACCCCCCAGGGGGGATGATCACGCCGCAATCCCTTCTCCTCCATTCTCCTCTCGGGATCTTGGGCACGCACGCACACGTGCCCGGCGTGAGTTTTAAGCCACCGGGTCCAGGACACGAACCGTGGTCGACTACGTGGGAGTCCAGCGACATAGCCATTACGCTAACTGCTGGTTCCCTCATATTAGTTTTTGTATCATTAAGAACTGGTACATCATATTAGATGCTTATTTCTGAAGTTGATATTATAAATATTGGGTTGTCGGTAAAGTCGTGATGCATTTTGTTCATAGAAAAACAGAATAATATGTCATGACTTTCCTGACAACCTAATTGTTGGTGCTCTGAAATACGTATTATATGAATTGACCCATTTTAGGAATAGCAAAGTGTGTTCTTTTACAATATCTAATTTTTAAAAAGAGGTTTGGGTTTTTATTATTGAAATTCTCTTAAGTAAATTTTAAAATTCCCCAATACATATTGTTATGGCAACAACAACAACAACAAAAATCATCTACTTTCCCCCTCTTCTCCTTAACAGGTGGCCAACATCGAAATGTCCAGCCTTTTAGTGATGAGGATGCATCGATTGAAACAATGAGCCATTGCAGTGGTTACAGCGATCCTTCCAGTTTTGCCGAAGACGGTAGGAACTTTAAGCTTTGTGACTTCAGATAAAAAGGAATTCTTATAGCTAATATGTATAGTTACTTATTTCCCATCTCCTTTTTTTCTCCTTAAATGATGATGGTTGGTTTGTATTTTTCCTTAGGACCAGAAGTCCTCGATGAGGAAGGAACACAAGAAGACTTAGAGTACAAGTTGAAGGGATTAATTGACCTTACCCTGGATAAGAGGTAGGAAATACTAGAAACTCTTTATTCCGATTCTTATCAACCATCTTATATATATATAATTTGTACACTTCTCTGATACCACAATATGTTTTTCCTGATGCTTGATTTATTTACTTTGGATGATTTAATGTTTTTTGTTCCTTTGAATGTTTTTTTATATGTGTATTTTATTAGAGTTTTTTTACTTCCTCCATGACCACCCCTAGACTCAGCTAGACTAGAATCAGGAGTGTGTGTGCACATGCCTGGTCTATCAGGAAAGGTCTCTGGGTATGAACCCGGCACTTTCCCAAATGGATTAGCTGCACAAAGCCATCGTGTTTTTCTACTATGCCACTGTCTGACCCCACTTTGGATTTTAGTGTAGATAGTAATCTACTGTTAGAAAGTGCGGGTATCTCACATGTTGCTAGAATTTAAGACTAATTGACTCAGTTTATTGTTCTATCATTAAAGCACAAACAGAGCTATATGTGATTATAAGAGAAATAGTTATGCTGATCTAAAAGTTCATCGTAAACTAGAAATTATAACTGAACTTGGTTTTAAGCTGCTTGTCCCCTAGTTTTCTTATGGATGTTAAAAATGTCAAACTATTGGGTCATTGGAAAAGTCATGCCATATTTTTGCATAGAAAAAATAAGTCATGGGCCAGCAGGTGGTATGGTGGTTAAGGGCACTGGTCTCACACATTGTTGACTGTGGTTCAAGTCCCGGACCTGGCAGCTTGCTTTCTCACTCCCCTCCTCCACATCCCTGACTCTGTCCCTCTGGTCAAATTAAAATAAACAAACAATTAAATAAATAAAGGTATAATAATAAAAATAATTTTAAAAAATTCATGACTTTTCCGGCAGCCTAATAAATTGTTTTCTTCATACTGGCTGTAGAATTGACTTACGTATGAAATATGTAAACATGAATCTTGGCTTTTTTGGTATCAAAAATGTGTTTACTTATGTGTGTAATACAGAACATGTCTGATATATTGAAACTATAAATATGTAGTGATTTAAAGTTGTGGTTATCAAACAAACAAGCAGAAAAAATAGTATGATATAAAGCAGCTTAAAATCTTTGGTGTATAGCCCAGCTCTGGTGGTATGTATTGCTAAGACTCTGTGCTCTGCAGTCTGAGACCACAAGAGAGGCTGGAGTTCAATTCCTAGTCCAGTCTAAAGGCCATCTATTGTGGTATGCACCTGTAATTACAGATACTTGGGGAGGGCAAGGTAGGAAGATTATAAACTTGAGGTTGTTCTAGACAACATAGTGAGACCTTGTCTAAAAGAGATGAGTTTGGTGTTGTGTGCCTATGGTTTCAGCTGGGAAACTGAGGCAGGAGGCTCATGGCATAGTGAGATACTGTCTTAAAATAACCTGTGTAGTTAAAATGTTTTAGATGAAGAATTATATTATTGAAAAATGGTTAGAGCTTGATGACAGAGTAAGAAAAGCTATACACATAGCTTTTAAGCTACATTTTAAAAAGTCACTTATTGATGGTATACAATCCAACTGGATTTCCTATCTGTTATATTTTGGTTTAAATAGTGCGAAGACAAGGCAAGCAGCTCTTGAAGGTATTAAAAATGTGCTGGCTTCAAAAATGCTTTATGAATTTATTCTGGAAAGAAGAATGACTTTAACTGACAGCATTGAACGCTGCCTGAAAAAAGGTAATGCCCTTATTTTTGAATGACAGGACAGAACTAAGAAGAAATTTGCTACCTTCTTTGCAGTAATATTTGTTAATGTCGCTGGAACCCTGGCCCACTCTTCTAATAGTTGAGGAATACACTTGCTTATTGAAATTCAATGAGATTTTTTTTTTTTTAAATTGCTAGAGACCGTGTGTACTCGACAGAGATACAAAGGGAGGGAGAAACCAACTCTCAATGGGGTATAGTCACATCATGTTACAATCCCTTCTCCATTTCTCCATCCTGTTGGGGTTTAGGGCACACATGCACATGTGCTGCCATGTTTTTCTAGCCACGAGGGCTGGGATACAAACCATGGTTGGCCATGTGGGATCTGGATCCTTTAAATGCTGGGCTATGGGGCCAGCCCAGAAATTTTGCTTTTTTCTTTATGTAACAAAAAGGTTGAAACTAGGAAGGTTAAGGGGGATTTTGTCATCTGTTGTTATATTGGGACAGGTGATTGCCATCTTTTTATTATATCGGAAAGGCTTGAAAGCCCATGTCAAAGGCTTGAAAGCTCAAGTCAGTGGGCATATGTGCCTCTTGTGGGAGGAGACAGAGGGAAAGTGAGGAATCACCCCCATGGGGGATGGCCAAGCCTTAGTTCCTTCTCCGCCAGGCACCTCTTGGTATTTGGACATGTATGCACATGTGTGCAGCGTGTTTTTTAAGCTGCCAGGATTTTAACTAGTCAGTTGACCTTGTGGGATCCAGCCACCCCAACTACCATGCCACTGGCTGGTTCCAATAAGTATTTAAAAGTTATCCTACATTTTTCTGAAATTAAAAAAATGTAATTACCTAGCTCATTTTCCCTTACACTTATTTAAAACATTGATTTTACCTGTAAACGACATCGTTTTTAGGATATCTCATAGAATATTTGAATTCTAGAACTTTGTATTAATAGTAGAAATTAATAGTAGAAATGGAATTCATATTGTTTTAATGATAGAATTTTTATACTATCATAATTATCATTTTATTAAAATATTTCTAGCACAGAGTGTAAGAAGCACACATGCTTCTTGAAGTAGAAGAAATTCTAAGTCCTGACTTTTCTCAATTTGGCTAACGGTGAAAACTTTGTAGTGAGGGAAACCCTTGGCCAGATTCACCCCTCTGATTGTACAGAACAAGGAATGGCCTAAGGAAAGGGTGACAGATCTGAGCTTATATAATTTGTTAATGGTAGGGTTGATAGCAGAGCTAAATTTTGAGATACTACAATGTCTTTATTAAAGGTATTTGCCACTGAAAGTATTTCCCACCATGGTAGTAGGTGACCTTTAAAATTTTTATTCCAGTCTGCATATTATGTACATTCTTAATTTGTTAGGTAATTTTAGTATTTGCTCAGAACCTTGGGTGTATACAGTTCTCAAGAGTTCATTTATATTTAATTATATAAGTGTATTTTCTGTGGTCTTAAGGAATCCCTGTTTTAATTCATTATTTGGTTAAAAAAATTTTAGAAGAGAAATCCTGAAGATTTAACTCATGGGTCAAGTACATCTAAAATGCTTAGGAAATGAATTCAAAGGCTACTTGCGCACTGAACATATGAGTACATTCAGGAGCCGAAAGGCAAATATTGACATGAAACACATTATTTTCTTGAACAATTACAGTACTCCCCTAATAATATATATTGATTTCCATTATACAGATGAGGAAGTCTGTTTAGAGACTAAGAATAATTAATTGAAATTCATTTGGATAGAAAGTGGCAAACCTAGGATTTGACTGATGTCTGTTTTAAAAGTTTGAGCTCTTGACCCCAAGTAAGCATTCAGCTTACGTCAGTCTAGAACATTGAGGGTTCTGTAAATGGCAGATGCTATTTCGTTATTAAATACCTTTGGGAAATTGCTGTCTCAGTAAGCGAGTCCACTGAGATGATGTGTCATGGCTGCATCTTGGCTCCTTTTTAGGGAAGAGTGATGAGCAGCGAGCAGCAGCAGCTTTAGCGTCTGTGCTTTGTATTCAGCTGGGCCCTGGAATCGAAAGTGAAGAGATTTTAAAAACTCTTGGACCCATCCTAAAGAAGATAATCTGTGATGGGACAGCCAGTATCCAGGCTAGGCAAACTGTAAGTATAAAGCTTTTTTTGGTTTTGTTTTTAGAGAGGTTTTTGCTATAGGGCGCGTACACTCACCAGACAGACAAAAGACAGAAAGCGAGAAATCACCCCCCAGGGGGGATAGCCACACCGCAGTCCCTTCTCCTCTGTTCCCCTCTTGGGATCTTGGGCGTGCACGTGCACATGCCCGGTGTGAGTTTTAAGCCACCGGATCCGGGATGCAAACCACGGTCGACTACATGGGAGTCCAGTGACACAGCCATTACACAAACTGCTGATCCCAAGTGTAAAGTTTTTAAATCTATAGTTGTATCTAGGCAGGACACCCCAGACAGACTGGTGAATAATCTAGGAAAATAGCATTTTCAATAATTGTTTTTTTATTAGTATTCTAATTGTCTTTTTGTTTTAGCGAAATGAAAACTCTAATGAGCATTCCATATAGAGCAGTTTTCTACATCTTAAAACTGGAGAACATATACTGATATTAAATACTACTTTGTGTTATTCAGGATGATTGTAAAATCATTTTGTTTGGAATCAAAGGGATGGCCTAGCCACTTGATGCTTATTTGGTGATCATTTTATTTTAAGGAATAGGAATGTGTTTTGGGCAGGGAGAGGGCTACCATGACCTCTTAAGTTTTTGATAAAAGACCAAATGCTATCTTTACATGGGTATACTTGAGTAGACATGGGAAACTCTGAAACTGACAAGTAAAATATCAAGTTTTGAAGTTTGAGGAAGCTTTCATTGTCTAATTGTTACTATTTACAACATTTGACTTTAGATTTTTGGGTGTTATGCCCTTTTTTTTCTTTGATGCACTAATAATTGAGTTGAATGATCACATGAACATGTTTTGCTGGGTCACAGAAACATATGAGGTTGTCTAAGTGTGTTGGGAAAGTAATATATGAATCTTAAGCTGGTTTTTTAGCAAGTGATTTTCAGGCCTCTGGACCTGGGACTTGAATAGCTGTTGGCCGTGTGTAGGTCCAGCACCATAACCACCAAACTACCCACTGGCCTCTCTGCCATTTTTCTTGAGAGTCATTAAAAGGAGAGATAAGGCCTTGCTTCTGCTATTTAACAAAGGAGAAGGATTATGGTTTGAAATTTTCCTTTACTGAGAATAGTGCTTAGGCTACTTTTATATTTTAATGATGCTTATTGTTTACCCATACAAAATAATGAAAATAAAATAGTGATAACAGGTAGCTTAACGTCACAAGTGTCCTCATAGTATTGAAACAGAACTGGCTGAAATCTAAGTGTGTGTGTGGTGACTTGAAAGGCTTAAAGTTCTAGTTACTTGGAACAACCTGAGGGAGTTTTAGTTACAAAATATGGATAAAGGGAAATGGAGAATAATAAAATCTCAGAGTACAAATTTAGCTTTTTTTTTTTTTAAGGATTATTTTAATTTAAATTTTTTTAATTCATTCATTCATTTTAATTTGACCAGAGAGAGACAGAGAGGGAGAGTGGGAAAGTGAGAAAGCAAGCCACCAGGTCTGGGATTTGAACTGTTGTCGACCATGTGGGAATATCCAGCACCTTGACCACCATGCCATCTGGCTTCCAAATTTAGCTTTATATGACTAATTTGTTAAAGTAAATGTCTGGAAATTGATAGCTTCCATCAATGTTGATGTTGAAAGCACTTTTTTTCTGTACACAAGTACATGTTGTGTTCTGAGTGTATTTTATTAGGTATTACCTTTGTAATCTGGTAGTGTATGTGCTTGTTTGGTACTTTTTTCCCCCAATGAAAGTGATTATGAGATTCCTAACTTCTTTTCAGCTTACTCCAAAATGAGTGAAGTCTGAATTAATGAGATTCTTCTTTTGGTGGAAAGGTTGTGGACAGTTATTTAAATTTTATGAGATTTATGCTCTTCGAGACAAGTAGATTGCATAATGGTTTCATTGCTGGAATCCCAGTTAGTTGACCGTGGTTCGAGTACTGGACCCGGTGGCTTAAAACTCACACCCTGTGCGTGTGTGTCTAAAATTCCAAGAAGAGAACAGAGTAGAAGGGATTGCAGAGTGGCCATCCCTTCTGGGGGGTGATTCACGCTTTCTTTCTCTCTGTCTCTCCGGTGAGCACACATGCCCTATAGCAAAAATCTCTCTCTTAAAAAAAAAAAAAAAAGATTTATGCTCTTTCATGTGCTTATTTCTTAGAGGGTGATTTAATAAAAATTACTTTAAGAGCTTAAAAATGAATCGTAATCTTAAGGTGTTTTAAGATTTTAATGGAAAGAGTAGTCTTCCATATGTCAAGGGGCCAAGCTTTATCTCTATCTTTGAATTAGAGTTGAAGTTTAAATGATCTACTAGGCTGTTGTACTCATACAGGTAAGAAATCGAGGCCCAGCTGTGGTGGCATAGATAGTAGGGGGTGCTGCTACATGTACTGAAGGACTTGGGAAAGCTCTGTATTTGAGTTCCCCGGCTACCTGAACATGCCAGGTGTACTTGTGATATAGCAGGGATAGATGAGGATCCTGGTGTGAAGACCTTGTTCCTAGACTGTGTCTCTGTCTCAGGAAATAAAGAAAAAAGGATATAATGAGGGACCAGTTAGTTCACTATTTCAAAAGGTTTTTACTCTTATTTATAGAGTAAGCAAAATAGTACCATAATTTAAATTATAGACTACAAAAATGAAATAGATTTAGGAATTATGTTATTCATTTATATACCCTATGCCCTTTGATTTTTATTGATTAATAAAGGAAGAGCCAAGAGAAATAGAATCACTTTAATACAGTCCTGTGAGTTTTTAGCAGTTTGGGCTGAAACCCACTCCCATCGACTCTTGTTCCTGTGCTTATAACCTAATGTAGTTCAATTATTGAGAAGATGTAGAATTAATAAAAAATAAAATTACAACCTACAATGTCAATATTTTCTTTTTGTTCTATTTTTTAGTGTTCAACATGTTTCGGTGTTTGCTGTTTTATTGCCACAGATGACATTACTGTAAGTAGAAAACCTCTGACTCCAGTTTTCTGCAGTTATTTCTAATTTAAGATGGTGACCTTACTTCATATTCTTACACATTAGGAGCTCTACTCAACTCTGGAATGTCTGGAAAATATCTTCAGCAAGTCCTATCTCAAAGACAAAGACACTAATGTTGTTTGCAGCACCCCTAACACAGCACTTCACATCAGCTCGCTTCTGGCGTGGACCTTGTTACTCACCATATGCCCAATCAATGAAGTGAAGAAAAAGCTTGAGATGTATGTATTTCTGGATTCCTATTTCCTAAAAGTAGGAAAATAGTATTTAGTTGATATAATTGCTGCATTCACATAATAATGACTATTTTCTAGGCATTTCCATAAACTTCCAAGCCTGCTCTCTTGTGATGATGTAAATATGAGAATAGCTGCTGGCGAGTCTTTGGCACTTCTGTTTGAATTGGCCAGAGGAATGGAGAGTGTAAGTATCTAACTGGCAGAGGAAAAAACTTGCGTTGAAAGGACCATTATTCCATCGTTACCTTTACAGTTAGGAATTGGATAATAACCTGGAATACGACCAGCCTGAGTTTCTAGTGACGATTGCCCCTCTTTTTTGGTAGTACTGTATAATATATATATATATATATTTTTTTTTAGAGAGAGAGGTTTTCACTGTAGGGTGTGTGTGCTCGCCAGAGAGACAGAAAGCGAGAAATCACCCCCCAGGGGGGATGGTCATGCCACAATCCCTTCTCCTCTATTCTCCTCTCGGGATCCTGGGCATGCACGCGCACGTGCCCGGCGTGAGTTTTAAGCCACCGGGTCCGGGACGCAAACTGTGGTCAATTACGTGGGAGTCCAGCGACATAGCCATTACGCTAACTGCTGGTCCCGATATTTTTGAGAGCATAAACCAGTAGGTGTTGGCAAATGATATTTATGGTCATTATACTTAATTGCTTCTATTTGAGAGACTTAAGTTTAGGGATGCCCTCCTACTCACAGAGTTATGTCTAATATACTCTGACTGGAACTGCTTGGATTTCTCACATACCTGACACATTACGGCACTTGAAGCATGCAGTACTTTACAATCAATATCAGATAAATGAATCAAATAGGAAGCATAGGTTTGGGATGAGAAGAGTTTAGTCACTGTCGTTTTAACTTCTCTAAGCCAAAGATGAAAACAGCGTGACTTTTTAGACTGGGGTATGTGCTCTTCAGTTTCCAACCTGCTCTTCACTCACAGATGTTGGTTACCATTTGAGTTTCTGTCAGTTTGACCAGCTGTCCTAGTTTGCTTGGTACTGTTTCTGATTTAGCACCAAAAGTCTTATGTTCCAGGAAGCCCCTCATCTCAGGCAAACTGGGACATTTTGGTAACTCTAGTTTGCGATTTGTGTTCTAAAGATTGCTGAGAGAAAGGGAAGTCTTGACTCTTACTGCTGGATGGGGGATTTGTTTCTATTTATGTGATTTGGATAAGATGCTGATACTTAGACTTAAGGAGCAACTTTGACTGTCTTTAGGTATGTGTTGTCACAATGACCGTAATACAAAGGATCCAGTAAGGAAACTAAATATATAGGAAGGAGTTACTAAATAGGAACGATTATTGCTAATGTGGAGTTACTTACTAAATGCTTTTTAATTTAAGAAGGACTAGATTTCCTCTCCCTACTTGTTCCTATCATGTAGGAAAAGGCTGCACTGTGCAAATAGGTTTTCATAAGTTATTTCTAAACTTCATATTCATCTTACTGGGTAGTTAGCATTCCTGTTTTACAGAATCAAGTCTGGGAGAGGTTAAGGAATTTGGCCTGATTAAGGAAATAGCCGGGTTCAGACCAGGTTCCTTCACTCTGTGACACACATTCTTTCTACCACACTGAACTTTTTCTGTAATATAAAGAAAAAAACTTAATTTTACAATAAAGCTTTTCTGCTGTTATGAAGAAGTTATCTAAGTGAATAGTTTCACATAGGATTAATACACTTCTGACTTTGCCGTATTTAGTCCTTCACATTCTATTCTAGATCTGTGTTTAAGAAGTGTTTTAAGTTCTTAAAATTCTTGTGTTTGAACTATATGCCTCTAGGCTGTTTACCCTGTCCCCTTTCTGGAAGGATAGTAGATAGAAAAGTAAGTGAATGCTGTCAATAGCTAATGATTCCCCATATGTGAGAAATTGGATGCAAATTTAGCAATGGATTTAATTTTATTGAGCTAGTTAATGGCTCCTTAGCCTCAAGGCACAGAAACCAGATGTCCCAATTTTGAATCTTTTGTTCCTCTACTGACTAGAAATGGTCATTTCTTTTTCTCCTCTTTGAAATGCATCTTAAAAGTGACGCAATAATGTAATTAAATTATACATGTTGAATTTGTTTAAATTTGTGTAAATAAATACTTTGCTACTCATATGTCTTTTGTTTTCTGATGTTGTGAATCATATGGGTTAGCCAGGAGAATGTCTCCAAACATACCTAATTTTACTTAAATTCTTGTCCAAGTGCAAAAATGAACTGCATATCAAAATGGAGTCTAGCGTTTTCTTTTTTTTTTTTAAGTGAATAAGCTTGTTATTGTTCATGGTGGTGGTGTCACAGTGGCTTGGGTATAGGATGTTCGAAAAGTAATTAAGGGTGTTGATGAACCACGTAGGAAGATTTAAAATAGGATTCTTAGAGCAAATGAGTAGCATTGAATTAGTCAGAGCCCTTTGTTAACATAATTTGTGATATTAATATAGTTCATGGTGGTGGTGTCACAGTGGCTTGGGTATAGGATGTTCGAAAAGTAATTAAGGGTGTTGATGAACCACGTAGGAAGATTTAAAATAGGATTCTTAGAGCAAATGAGTAGCATTGAATTAGTCAGAGCCCTTTGTTAACATAATTTGTGATATTAATATAGAAATCTGGTGGTGTAATGAATTATGCCTGGGACTCTTAGAAAAAAACCCTCTCTCATCAGCTGACTTTTAGTTTGGATTTTAAAAAATGAATTGGTTAAATAATAATTATTTGTTCCAAGTTGAGGTTAGAAATTATGAATCCTTTTGAGTGCTCTTGTAGTTTATTGCTCTTGTGTTTGCCACATAACTGAGTAGGTAAGCGTGAGCTGGAGCCACACTGCCTAAGTTCCTCTCTCTCTTCCACCCTAATTAGTTGGGTGCTGTCACGTAACTTCTCTATGCCTCCATGTCCTTGTCTTTAAAATGGAGAAAGTGCTATTATCTCATAGAGTCATGATGTAAGTAGTAACTATTCCTTACGTTGATCGAGCATTGCCCTTCCACTACCAGCAATAGTTTACTAGTGGCCTCTTAGAAATTCTGGGTAACTTAAATAAGATGGAGACTGTTAGGTGGGCAGGATTACAGATCTTAGGAGCCACAAGATCTTCTGGGCCAAGCTCAACTCAGGAAAATAAAACAAAATAGACTTTCACTGTCTTTTTTGCCTTTAATAGGATAATTGATTCTGTGTAAAAGAATCTTCATGTCTTGACAAGAGATAGTCTGTCTTAATTAGTAGGGATTGAAAGAAAGGAATCTTTGTACCAGAATAGAGTCAGATAAAACCATTTGAGAGATAATGTGTAGCTCTTTGCAGTGAATTGGTAAGGGATCAAATTCTGTTTTAATGTTAGACTTCCAAAATTTTATTTTTTAACACTTAGGATAGCTATTGAATGAAGATTATTTTATTTTATTTTGTTTAGAGTTAGTACTACAGTGACTTCTGTATAGAAATATTAGTTTGAGGAATGATATTTTTTTCTCAGAAGTTTTCTGTGGTTTATTTTTTCTATTTCCATTCAACTTTTGAAACTATTCAATTTCTTAATACCGGAAGTTTTCTGTGGTTTATTTTTTCTAATTCCGTTCAACTTTTGAAACTATTCAATTTCTTAATAGCTGTTCTTTGGTATGACATAATTATCTCTGGCTGACCAGTTTTACTTTATATTGTGTTAGACTCGTAATAGTAAGAGCTGTAACTTAATAGGTGTTAGATTGGGTCACATATTTTTAATATTTAATCTTTATAGTACCTGTAGGGTGTGGTTTTATTAACTGTTTCCGTTTTACGCATAGGAACCTAAGATAGATTGCTAATGTGATTGTGCCCAAGGTTGTATAGATCTAAATGGTGGATGCCTGCGAGTTAAGCCTAGATGTTCTGACTGAAAAACCCTGTTTTATATGTGACATTAAACTGCCTCATTCAGGTGTAGTTACTGTATAGATTATTTTTAAATGTAAAAAAAAAAAAAACATCTTCTAAATGTAGAATATTGGCATAATAGTTTATGCTTCAGAATTTATAGGGAAATTTATATTTACTGTCTGATTTAATCTTTACAACCATCATGTAGGAGGGTGAATATTCCAAGATTTTTAAAATTATTTATTTAATTCCATTTGTTGTTATTATTTTTTAATTTGACCAGAAAGAGACAGAGAGAGAGAGAGAGAGAAAGGGAGAGAGAAAAAGCAAGGCACCAGGTCCGGGACTCAAACCATGGTTGGCCATGTGGGAATTCAGCACCCTTAACCACCATGCCACCTGCTGGCCCCTCTAATTTAAGATTTTAGACTCTGTTGTGCACTAGTGATTATGCTAGTTTTTTCTTTGTTTTTGATTTTTTAAAAATTTTTGCCAGAGCGCACATGCACTCATGAAGAGAGAGAGAATGGGAAACAGAAAGTGAGAAAGACCCCAGCAATCCCTTTTCCATTTCTCCATCCTTTGGGGATTTTTAGCATACATGCACACAGGCCTAGTGTGTGTTTTTCAAGCTACGGAGTCTGAAATTGAACTACCTAGTCAGCCAAGTGGGATCTAGCTGCTTTAACCACCATGCCATTGCCTGGTCTAGTACTCTGTGATTTTTAAACTCTAAACCAGATTGAGGTTTTTTTTTTTTCCCTTCATTTTGTTTATTTATTTATTTTTAATTTGACCGGAGAGAGAGAAAGGGAAAGTGAGAAAGTAGGCTGCCTTGTCTGAGACTCAAACCATTGTTGGCCATGTGGGAGTCCAGCACTCAAACTACCATGCCACACCAGCCCCAGCCAGATTGAGTTTTATCCAGCGTTAAAAATCATATGTACAGTAGTTTCTCAGCCTCAGCACTATTGGTATTTTTGGGCTGGATAATTTTTTGTTATTGGGGATGGAGGAGACTGGACTGTCCTGTGCATTGTGGGATGTTTAGCAGTGTCCCTGGCTTCCACCCTCTAGATGCCAATAGCACTGCCTCTCCCAGGCACAACAACCAAAAAGTCTCCAGGTGTAGTCAGATGTTCCCTAAGAGGTGACATCAATTAAGAATCTCTAGCAGTGGTTCCTAGTTCTTAGAACAAAGTACCATAATGTATAGAATTTTCTTAAGTTTTGGTTTATTCTTTTATGTAGATTTAAAAATCCTTCATATTCTTTATTTTTCTTAAAAATAGTATTGAAAGATCAAGTTACCAATGAAATGAGTAGGAAACTACCAGTCCTTGAAATGTATCTATTTCTTTAAAGTAAAACCATTCCCATCTTGTTATGATGGAATCAGATTTTAAATATAGATCAACACACTTTGGTCTGTTTTAATACCTACTTTACATCTTACTAATGGGTATTATCTCTAACTCAGATATAGGAGATAGAATTGGGAAATTTGAAGAATACACTTGTTGGAACAGAATATGTAATCTGACAATAAGAAAAATACTTATGTACTTAAAAGCCAGAATTTTATATTAATTTTAAGCTTATATTCCACTAGTGTCATCTCTTTTATTTTAGATATTAAAAGACATTACATTTGTACTTCTGTGAGATTAAATAATTATACATGTAATTGAAAGAAGACCCAGATAAAAAGAGTTGTTTATTTTAATAGAATAAATTAAATGATAGTTACCCTTTAATGCAACATAATGTTAAGTGGGTATGAATAACTAGAACTAAAGATTGCTCATCTTGGTTTCTTAGTAAGAAACTAGTTTTGGTCAGCGAAAAAACATACTCATCTTTTAGTTTTTAAAAAGTTATTTTTTATTATTATTATTATTTTAAAATTTGCTATAGATCACATAAGCTCCCAGAAAAAGATGAGCGAGAGAAAAAGTGAAAGTGAGAAAGCAAGCTGCCATGTCCTGGATTTGAACTATGGTTGACTCTGTTGGAGTCCAGCATCTTAACCACTGAGCCACCTGCTGGCCTCTAGATCTTTTAGTTTGTAATGTGATTGTAGAAGGTATTCAAGGTGGAGTAGGAGGAGACTGCAGTGTGACCATCCGCTATGTGGGGTGCTTTCATGCTTTCTCTCTCTCTCTCTCTGTGTGTGTGTGGCTCTGGTGATCACATGTAGACTCTAGCAAATAAAAAAAAAGAGAGAATAAAAAAATACCCCAAGTAAAGATACATCCTAAATTTATCTGTGTGTCAGGGAAACTCTCAGTCAATGTAAAGTCATTGCAAATAGCAGTATATTCTGTAACTTACCTCCAGGAATAATTTAATCACTTGAATTGTGTGGCTGCTGTAAATGCTTTATTGCTTATTTGAGATGTGGCTATAAAACAAAAAAAGATGCTTTTAAAAGAAAGCATTACTGGTAGCTTGTGCCTTTGGAATAAGAATTCTTGGAATTGTCAGGAATGTGTGCCTGGGGGTCGGGGAGTGAAATGTAGAAGCTGTATTGGTGTATGTGTATCTGTGTCTCACCGAGCTTCCTTGAAATCCCAGTAATGTGTTATATGCAGTGGGAGCACAATAAGTATTTGTCGAATGTATCTGGCTATACTGGAAGGGGGAATGTTCATTGTTTTGTGGTGGTAAATTATCTGTGGTCAGCATTTCTGGATTAAATTTTTGTGTGATATTATCAGTTTGTTTGTGTCAAAATCTGTAAATAGCCTGAGGATTTGTGTTGCTCTGTGCAACTGGGTATCTTCAAAAGGTGGACTTGTTTTTTGTTAGCTACAGGAGAGGTTGGAAAAGAAAAAAAATAAAAAGTAGCAAATGAACACCATTGTTTTTCTTGACCAGGACTTCTTTTATGAAGATATGGAGTCTTTGACTCAGATGCTTCGGGCTCTGGCTACAGATGGAAATAAGCACCGGGCCAAAGTGGACAAGAGAAAGCAGCGGTCGGTGTTCCGAGATGTCCTGAGGGCAGTAGAGGTAGGCCTCTTAATTGCTCTAATAGCTACTCATTTTAAAATTGGATTGTTTCAGGTTAAACTTGACAGGTCATTTTGCTTAATGAAATTCACTTTTCATCGAAATTATTTCCTCTTTTTAAGACTGACTGAGCAGGTTTGGTCCAGCCTCTCTGCAATGTTAGAAGCTATCTGGAAAAAATAGTTAGGAACCCAGTGATCTTAGCTGGTGGGAAGGCTAAGGGGGAGAATGACAGCATGAGACCCTGTAGAGGGTGCCTGTCTGTCTGTCTGTCTTTCTCAGGAGATGGAAATTACCAAAAAACAAAAAAGGTTTTTAACAACATTAATGTTAACATTAAGCAAAGAAAAATTTAATGTGTATAAAAGTACCATTTTTTTAGGTTAAAAAAAAAATTCCTAGCAGTTGGGAATCCAATGTCTAAGGCACTAGACTCCCACATGACTGGCCTTGGTTCAAGTCTTGGCTTGCTTAGTCAACTTCCTTCTCTCTCTTTCTCTCAGTCTGGTCAAATTAAAAATAATAATAGTGATAAAGTCTTATATTTTTAGAGAGGTTTTTGCTATAGGGCGCATGCGCTTGTCAAAGAGAGACAGAGAGACAGAAAGTGAGAAATCACCCCCCTAGGGGGGATGGCCAGACCACAATCCCTTCTCCTCCATTCTCCTCTTGGGATCTTAGACATGCACTTAGACACACCTGGTATGAGTTTAAGTCACTGGGTCCGGGACTGCGCTTGAATACATGGGAGACCAGTGACATAGCCATTATGCCATGTGCTGGTCCCCCTTTTTGGATATTCTTAATGATTCACTGAAGATTTCAGCAGGCAGTTTACTCTCAAGTCCTGCCAGTATTCTGAATGCCTTCTTTTACCCATCTGGAGAACCCTATCCTGTATACGTCCTACCAGGTTCTATTTCCATTCCACTTGGTCACAGTCCCATGGTTCTACCTTAGAAAGGGTTTTTGGCAGAATTGTTTCATGGCAGAAAACTTAACCAAAACTAAGGTATTGCCTCTCATTTTCTTAACAAACCTAGCCTGAGACCTATGGACCCCTCTAGCTGCTGGGCCTCTCTTTCGCTTGGTCTGGGAAGTCTGCTTGGCCTCACTTCTCTAGTTTCTGCTTCCCATCAGTTGCCCCACTGCCTTTTTCTTTCTTTTTTTTTTTTTTTTTTTTTGAGAGGTTTTTGCTATAGGGTGCGTGTGCTCGCCAGACAGAGAGACAGAAAGTGAGAAATCACCCCCCAGGGGGGATGGCCACACCGCAATCCCTTCTCCTCCATTCTCCTCTTGGGATCTTGGGCACGCACGCACACGCGCCCGGCGTGAGTTTTAAGCCACCGGGTCCGGGACACGAACCGCAGTCGACTACGTGGGAATCCAGCGACATAGCCATTATGCTAACTGCTGGTTCCCCCCCCCATTGCCTTTTGATGCCTTTATGGCTTAACTGTTCTGCAGCCTCTTTTTCTCTACCATCCTAGACCAGCGTAAACCACCTGACCATTTTTTGTTTGTTGAGTGCTGTTGAAAATTTAAAATGTTCACAACAATGTTGATTTGCCCATTAATGTGTATTCATACTCAATTGCACCTTCAGGTTTACCAAGCTTGACAAATTCTATGTTCTTACATAAAAGAGTAATTTTAGCCTATCTACTTTCCTAGGTTTGGAAGTATCAGTGTTTTTTGTTTATTGGCTTTTTTTTTTTTTTTTTTTTTAATTTTCTGTAGAGTATGTATGTTTGCCAGCAAGACAGAAATGAGTGTTATGAGAAAGCATTCCCCAAGGAGGACTACCACTCTGCAGTCCCCTTTCCTCCTTTGTCCTCCTGGGACCTTGAGCATGCAGGCACATGCATCTGGCATATTTCTCAAGTCACTGGGTCTGTGACTCAAACTACATAGTCAGCCATGTGGGATCCAGCTACCGCAAACACCACACATACTTGCTGGCCCAGAAGTATCAGTTTTTAAACCAGTGTTGGTATATTTTAATCACTATATGTCTGCTTAGAAATTTTGTTTACATAATGACCTCTTTGGGCTATTTTTGTGCTTGTGATAATTATAGTTCTTCCATTGGCTAGGAACGGGATTTTCCAACAGAAACTGTTAAATTTGGTCCTGAACGCATGTATATTGATTGCTGGGTCAAAAAACACACCTATGACACCTTTAAGGAGGTCCTAGGATCAGGCATGCAGTACCACCTGCAGGTAAGTGAATCTATGTTTATTTTTATATTACTGAGCAGTGTTGAATGAAGATCACTTGGTTGGCTTTTGAAGTTGATTGAGTATCCGAAATGCTTCCAAAATGTTAGAAAATAGTGAATTTATTTTTGAAAGTTAAATGAAATAAATCTGAAATGGTTCTTTCCCCTTTTTTGGTATTGTGTAAATCTGGTAGAACGTTATTGATATCTTTGCATGAGAACAAATAGCCTGACGACTTTCTTGGATGTAAGGCGAGACAGTTTATTCTCTTAATGAGAAACAAAGTAAGTGACCTAAGTTCATGTTTCTAGGTTCCATGTGCCTTTTTTAAAATCAAATTCAGCCTATGTAGTGACAAAGAGCTGTGATAGTTAATATTTACCACCTTTTTTTCTTTCACAAAAGTCAAATGAATTCCTTCGCAATGTATTTGAACTCGGGCCTCCAGTGATGCTTGATGCTGCAACACTCAAAACAATGAAGATTTCTCGTTTTGAAAGGGTAGGTCTTATTTTTGTTTTTAATGAAAAACAAAAGGGAAGCCAAAGCTTTCATTCTACCCGGTAACAGGAAGTTCGTTGTGTCCACCTGTGCATAGAGTTTCAGTTTTTCAATTAATCAAGAAGAGCTATGCTAAGGGTATAGGAAGTTGACTGCTTTTGGAGTGTGGGTTTTAATCAGTATTTCTTCCCCTTAACCCTACTGTCTGAACATAGAAATGATTTTCACTTTTTGCTTCCTATTTTTTGTTTTATATATAAGAATTAAAGTATTTGAACCAGGTAATATGGCCTATTTATTGAAGTACCAGACTCATTTTACAGTGAGGGAAGTGCTCAGAGAGTGTTTGTAACATTAAATTGTAATTAGTATCGTTTTCCCTTGGGACCAGTAGGTGGGGTGGTGGTTAAGGTGCTGGATTCTCTTATGACCAACTGTGGTTTGAGTCCTACACCTGGTGACTTGAAAAGTCATGCTTGGTGCATGTGTGTCCAAAATCCTGAGAGGAGAATGAAGGAGGATGGCAGCATGTCCATCCCTCCTTGGGGGTAATTTCTCACTTTAGCTTACTGTCTCTCTCGGGCAGGCATATATTTCCTATGGCAAAATCCTTTTAAAAAAATCATTTTCACTTAACATTTCCATAGCTCTTAATTATGTTTTTGACTTTTTCATTGAAGTGAAAGTCCCACAACACAAAGTGTGCAATTCAGTGGCATTTATTACATACATAACTGATGTGCAGCCATCACACCTATCTAGTTCTGAAAATTTTATCACCTCGAAAGAAAACCCTCCACCCATCAGCAATTGCACTCTACTTGCTATTTCCCTCCAGACACTGGCAACCACTAAACTGTCTCTGCGGCTTTACCCGTTCTTGGTATCTCATATACATTGAATTACACATGACCTTTTTTGTGTCTGGCTTTTCATTTAGCATAATGTTGGCAAGGTCCATTCATGTTGTAGTGTCTTATCAGAACTCCATTCCTTTTTGTGGCTAGATAATATTCCATTGTATGGATGGGCCATGTTTTATTTACCATTTGTCAATGCCATTGTAAATAATGCTCTTGCTCTTGTGAACATTCACATGCGAGTTTTTGAGTATTTTCAATTTTGTGTATAAACCCAGGTTATACAGCAATCCTTTTTAACTTCCTGAGGAACTGCCGAACTGTTTTCCATAGCTGCTTGTATCATTTTACATTCCCACCAGCAATACATAGGGTTCCACTTTGTCTACATTGCCTCCAACACTTGTTCATTTTTTAATTACAGACATCCTAGTGGTGGTGGGAAGTGCTTACTAATTAGGCTTTTATAGGCCCTTTATGTGTAATCAGTGTTATGGCTACATAATTGATTATTGGATATTTTAAAACTTTATAATAAATATTAATAAAGAAGCAGTAAATATTACAAATTTTACATACTTTTTTCTTCTGAATAATTTATTCAAAGAAATCCCATGCATAGTAATACATCGTCAGTTATGACTTTTGATATGTGTTGCCAAATTACCTCCAGAGTTTTTTCATCATTTTAATTGTTCCCAAGAATGTAGCTGTTGCGCTCTGGTTTGTCAGCATTGGATTTTATAATTTTAAAGATGAGTTGTTATTAGAATGGCAACGCACTGCTTTTTTTTTTCTTGTTAGTTTACTAACTGGAAGGACTTTGTTTTCCCCATATGGTCATGATTTGTTTTTTTCCTAGATCAGATTAAATGTTGATGCCCCTTTTTACTTTTCAAATTTCCTTGGTATTTTACATATTTGATTAATTTTTAATATGAGATAGCCATTAAGTATTTAGTATGTCAGTTTTGTCTTTCATTCTTCATGTATGTTTTACAAAGTTGATAATATATTTTCATTTTCATTTCAGCATTTGTATAACTCTGCAGCCTTCAAAGCGCGAACAAAAGCACGAAGCAAATGTCGAGATAAGAGAGCAGATGTTGGAGAATTCTTCTGATTTTCATCACTTGAAGACTATTTTCTAACTGGTTTTTTTTTTTTTTTTTTGCAATTTCTAATGTATTTAAACTAGAGACAGTTTTTAATCTTGAGTCAATTTAGATAACTTTTGTAGTAAGGGTTATATTATAATTTAATGTACAGTATTGCAAATGGTGAGTTCTGATTATTGAATATTCTTTGTAAATACAATCAATAAACATAAATAAAGTGCTTCTAATGTTTGGTCATAATTTATTTATGAAGAGAGCAAAAATATGGTACTTCTCACTTGATTTCATTATGAGAAAAATTAATAGCCAAGGTTTAATTTTTATACTAGTTGTTAAAGTACTGATTGATCATAATGATATATACATGTAAGATATTTAAATTAGTTTCTTAGGCAAGAATTCTGGATACACTTTTGGGAGCTAGCTCTTCTGGAAAAGCTACTATATTTTAAATTTTAAGTGGGATGTAGCTGTTTTAATTTTGTCACTGGAATCAACAAAAGACATTTTACGAGATCTTAGCCTGTGAGGGCCTGTAGTTTAGCTACTGGGAATGCATGATGAATTAGGAAATGCCTGAAAGGTTGCTAGCCTTAAACTGTGAGAGCAGCAACACTGGTTTTATAACTGCCATGTGACCTCTGCTTTTTACTTTGAAACACTGCTCGTTCACATTGCAGGTGCTTCTTTTCTAAGAGAAAAACATTTTTGGCTTTGACGTAAGAGTTCAGAATTACCAAGCCAGGTAAAGAGAGAATAAAACAGCTGTATTTGGAACATTAAGAGAGATGGAAAAAAATGTTAGAGCCCAATATATATATATATTGGGCTTCATGTTACTGACTTTCAAAAATATTCCTGTTTAGCTGCCCCTGTAAGGTATTTTTAAATTTTATAAAAGAAAAATGACCAAAAGTACATATATTTGCTGAAGGGGGGAAGTGGAGTGAGATAGGACTCCCCATAAATAGTGGTCATGCCGCAACCCTGTCTCCATTTCTCCCTCCTTTGGAGGATTTTGGGTACCCATGCACATACCCCTGATGTATTCCTCAAGCTGCTGGGTCGTATATTATAGGATGCAGCCATCCTAATCACCATGCCACCAGCTAGGGACCCCCCCCCCAAAAAAAAAAAAACAAAAAAAAAAACAAAGCATTGTCATAAATGCATTAAAATTGAGACATTAAGGAGCTGGTAGATGGCATGGTGGTTAAGGTTGCTGGACTCCCACATGGCTGGCTGTGGTTCGAGTCCTGGACCCAGTGGCTTGCTTTTTCACTTTCCCTTTCTCTCTCACTGGTCAAATTTTAAAAATGATAAAAATAATTATTAAAAAGAATATTGGTCAAAAAATTGAGATATTAAACTTTAGGTTAAAATTATATAGTGTATTTTTCTCAAGTAGTGTTCTTTCCCCACATCCCCAACAACTCCTGTGCACTTTTCCCCACCCAGGTGGAAATCTGATCGGCTGTGGAGCCAGTAATGCTAAGTTCCCATACCTCAGACAGCAACGGAAAATGAGTCTAGAACTTGGGTTTGCGTGTCATCACTTCTTTATATTTCCATCCAGTTAGAACTGTGGAAAAGAGATTGCCGATAGTGATTGTTAACATTCAGTTTCATATATGCATTTAGATTGTTTAATAAAAATGAGTTGTCATTGAAGTGTTATATACTAATAAAGTTTAATAGTACTTCGAGGCATAGAATGAAGAAAGCCTCCTCTCCACCCTTTCCGGATTCTCATCCATCCCAGGGTGTATTCAGCTTTTAGTTTTCTCTAGCACTTTGAAGCTTTTAAGTAATATGCTTATACAACTGTGCTTTTGCCTATTATTCATAGACATTTGTTAACTTCCTATTACTGACAAGCAAGGATTTGTCTTTTCCATCCTTCTCATTTTTTTTGTTGTTTGTTTTGGCTAAGTCAGCATTGTTTGCATTACTGTGGTCATATTTATATTTTCACTCCTGAATTAAACACTTTGATTATGTTCTTAATTCTTACCATTTTGTCCTGGAGTTATAGTTTTTTTGTTTTTTTTTTTTTGAGAGGTTTTTGCTATAGGGCACATGTGCTCACCAGAGAGAGAGACAGAGAGACAGAAAGCGAGAAATCCCCCCCCAGGAGGGATGGCCACACCGCAATCCCTTCTCCATTCTGTCAGGATCTTGGGCACGCATGCACACGGACCCAGTGTGAGTTTAAGCCACCAGGTCCGGGACTCGAACCGTGGTCGACTACATGGGAGTCCAGTGACATAGCCATTACGCTAACTGCTGGTCCCCTGGAGTTATCTATTTTGACATACATACTTTGCTAATTCTTCCCAAACATTCCCAAATATATTTGTAGAATTCTTGACTCTGCATGTTCTTTGATCTAGACTAGTTTTCTAGACTGCTTTCCTGAGACATCAATTTTTTTGTCACTTTTGAATTGGATACCACATTTTCTGGACCCCTTACCTTCATTATATTGGGTCATCATAAAAAGACACATTTTTGCATAGAAAAACATAAAAATGTATTGTGACTTTTATGACAATCCAATAGTTTACTTTCTTCAGTATCTTGGAAATGGGTACCAGAGAGATCAATTAATTTTAGACTTTATATATCTGGAAGCTATTGGGGTGTTAGAAAGTCATGATGTTTTTTTTTTTTTTTTTTGATAAGCAAAAATGTGTCATGACTTTTCTGACAACCCAATTGTTTTTAAGGTGTATGAAATTCTAGGTAGGGAATTAAGTTCAGAAGTAAACATTTTTTTGAAAAAATATTGTTTTTAATTTGCTATAGGACACATATGCTCACCAGACACACGTACACAGAATCTGAGAAAGCAAGCCATCAGGTCTGGGTCGCGAACTGCAGTTGACCATGTAGGAATCCAGTGCTTTCACCACCATGCCACCTGCCAGTCCTAGAATTAAACATTTTAATTGGCAATTGTATTTAAATTCAGAATTTTTAAAGCACTATTCTAGCAAAATATTGATATAGCTGATGTAATTTTTGTTTGGTTTTCTTTTTGCTCTTAGGATCTCTTTGTCCCTAGTGTTCTAAAATTGGACGATCTTGTACTTCGATGTGCATAGCAATCTGGAAGATATTTTAAAATTCTTGATTTCTTTCCTCCTCCTCCATTTTCTTTGTTCTGGAACTCCACAAGACATTGGAGCTCCTAAATTGAACCTTGGGCCCAATTATTTTTCTTTCGGGAAGATTTTCTAAACACGAATTTTCCTGTTGCATTTTATTTTTGGCAAGTTACCTGCTTGCATTTAATTCCATGCTTCGCTCTTGCTTCTAAATACAGGCCTGCTTCCGTTCTGCAGGTTCAGTCAACTTGCTCATTAGTGACAGTCCCTCTAACCCAGGTGCCACCCATTTCCTAACAGTCCTGCTCAGCCAGGTACCGCTCATCTCTTTCCCATGTTTAATGAATGCATTTGTTGAACTCATCCAGTATTAATTAATCCTATTTTCATTCTTGTGGTTTTATAATTCTGTATTCATAGTCTGCCTTTTTACTGGGATTTGGGGAGGAAGAGGAGACAATGTTAATTTGCATATTGAGTTTATACATTGATGACTTATTAATAGAATTGGTGGATAATTACTAGACAAAGATTACTAGGGACTCAGTGTGAAAGAATGGCCAAATGGGCCAGTCCCATATTGCAGTGGTTAAGTGTCCTGCATCAGGTGTTTGATTCCACGTTGCTGGCTGTGGTTCGAATCCTAGCTCCTGGTGGTTTAAAAAACACCCTGCACATATGTGTGCATGCTTCTTCAAATCCTGACAGGATGGGAAAATGGAGAAGGGATTGTGGCATGGCCATGGCCCATTGTGAGGTTGTGTTCTCCCTCTCTGTCTCCCTAGTGAGTGCATATACCATCTGGCAATTAAAAGAAAAAAAATTAAAAAGAATACTTGAGTTTTCTTGAAAGTAGTAAGATGCTGTGTGATAGACCAGTTCATTGGTTCATTCTTGGTTAATCTTGCTAGTTTAAAGGAATGTGTTAGTTTCTGTCAGATTTCTTTGTTTTGAGGCTCGTACATCTTGAAACAACATCTATATGTTTGATGGCATTTGCTGAATTTCTTACAAGTTGGATGTAGATATCCTGACAAAATACATGAAAGAAAGAGCGAGAGATACTTGAGCTGTTCCCAGATTAAACAATTCATGTGACATTTATTTTCTTCTTGGGACCCAAAACCCTTCCTAATGTGGCCTTTCAGATACCTAATAGGTGGAATGACAGAGAGTCCAGAAGTTTAACTGGTCCAAAGGGTGTCCCTTCCCCCCTCACTAGTGTAAAGAACAGTTGAATTTAGACTTTGATGTGAGGTTTGAGTTCAAATCTTGTCTCTGCCACTTACAATCCATATCCTTCAACAGTTCAATTCTTCTACATCCTGGGTAGGGGTTAATACTTCATAGGGTTATAAGGTTAATACTTCATAGGGTTATAAGGTTTCAGAAGAGAGGAAAAACAAAGTACTAAAAAAATGAGGCAGTTATGTGTGTATGTATATATATATATATACATACACACATTTCCTTTTTTTTTTTGGAAAGGTTTTTCCTATAGGGCGTGTGCACTCACCAGAAGGAGGCAGAGAGACAGAAAGCGAGAAATCACCCCCCATGGGGGATGGCCACGCCACAATCCCTTTTCCTCCATTCTCCTCTCAGGATCTTGGGCACACATGTACACGTGCCCCGCGTGAGTTTACGCCACTGGGTCTGGGACTTGAACCGCGGTCGGCTACTTGGGAGTCCAGTGACATAGCCATTACGCTAACTGCTGGTCCCAGGCAGTTATATTTTTCAAAGGATAGAGACTTAAGGTAAGTAGTTGGGAGATTTAAAAAATTAAACATTTTTAAAAAGAATTATTTAATTTAATTTATTTATTATTATTATTACTAATTTAAATTTGCTGTAGGGCATGTGCATTCACCAGAGAGAGAGAGAGAGAGAGAGAGAGAGAAAGGGAGACAGAGAGAGAAAGTAAGAAAGCAAACAGCTAGGACCAGGACTTGAACTGTGGTCTGCCATGTGTGAGTGCAGTGCCCTAACCACCACATTACTTGCTGGCCTGGGAATTTTGTTTTTACAACTGGACACAACAATATAACAGCTAACATGAGAATCTTCATTTTTAGGAGAATTGGCCATAGCTCTATAATGCTGAGAAAGCAAGTACTGATTTTATAATCCTCCGTGAATTGACCCTTAGGTATACATAAGGGTCTTATGTTTAGGAGGCTCTAAGAAATTACATTCTTTTCTCTCTGAAGCAGAGTGAGGTCTGTATGAACTGTAGGTGTGATGGAAATCCTGTAGAGTACATATATTGACTGATCTCAAAAACGTTTCAAGGATGACTAATGTCCATCTAATGGCAATAGAAGGTAGGAATGGAAAGGATTGCATGTCAGTTTATGATCTAACCCTCCGTGTCTGGCTGGGGTAGTTAGTCCCTGAGATCTGGGATCTAGGGTTTGTGGGATGACAGATCTCATCATTGTAGCATCTTTTATGTACACCAGAGGGCAGAACCTCCTTGGCATGTGTGCTAAGGAAACACAGAAGCAAAAAGCCGAAGTTCCCGAAAACGCAGATGTGCAAAAGTACACAGAACAGAATCTAAGAAAAGGAAAGGAGGTTGATGAGACAAAGCATTTCCCTCACCTGCAATGGGTCTGTATGTAGCCGTGTAACCTCCCACTCACAATAGCTTTTTGTAGGGACTGGAAGAACCTGTTCTGTCCCAACTACATTCTGTCCCTGTTTGTTGCAGTTCTCTGGCTGGTCTGAAGTCCTTGAAAGTTCGTTGTCACAGTGGCAACTTCCGCCTGCTTGGGGATATTTATATATGGGAGCAGCACACCATCGCAGGCGTGTGGGGACTGGGGTGTCGGCTTACATGGTCGCTTCAGCCATATAAGGACAATCACTTCAGTCTGTGAAGAGCTTTATCACTTACCAGCTGAATCAGGCCATAGCAGTTTTTCTTTTTAAAAAATATACTTTCAGTATTATATTTATTAAAAACTGTAGACATTATGAAAAAAGTCAGTATTTGGAATTGTATACTGCTTGGCTAACTTAACACTAAATATAGACCAACAGTTTTATTGCCAGGATTTATGGATCTCATAGGAGCACCCGTACACTGAAGCAAGGCAGAGACAACTACAGAATTTGTAGAAAGCTTTGTCGTAGTTGCTCCTGAATAATTAGCTTTTTTTTTTTTTTTCCTATCCCCCCTGGTAACCTAGCAGTCAAAGCTCACATTTTTGTAAGTAATCTGCATGCTATTACTCTACTGAGTTTTGGTTCTTGAGTCTGGGACATTTTGGTTGCATGTGTTCTGTGCTTTTAACTTTTGATAGAAATGATTTAGGCTTGATTTTTAAAATTACTTCCTGAATGTGAAGAGGCATTAACTCTGAAATGGAATTAAAGAACAAATTACCTTGACTCACTCAATAAAGCTTTTTATTAGCTTTGAATTAAGCCCTATTAGAACAATTCTGATTGTGCAGCAAGCAATACTGGTATGAGTTATTTCTGTGGTTTGAAACCAAGCACCTGTGGGGAAAAAAATTTAAGTGCAAAGCAATTTTTCACAGACCACCATCTTTATTTGTAAGAATATTTATTTGTAGATGATCCATGAATGCTTTAATGACAAAAAGAATCAACTGTTAGTATTCTAAGCCAGGGGAAATGAAATCACTCCGTTCAGCTTAGGGCATTAGAAAGGGTTCTGTGAAAGGGGTGCTGCTTTGGCTTACCTTGGTAAATAAGCAAATTTGCGTTGGAAAGGTCGAGTTTGCGTGAGGCAGAATTGCTGGTAATACACTGGATTCACCAGCCTTGTTGGCTGTTCCCAGATGCCCTCATTTGGTGATGCCAAAGATAGCAACCCGGGGTGTCAGACAGCTGTGGGTCCTGGTTTTAGGGCCATGTGATCTTGTATCCATTTACCAGCAGAGTCATTTGCAAGTCCATTTGCAGGCTCTGGGTAGCCATGAGCTATACCCAACACAGTTTTCTCTGCTAGTTCTTTATGTTCCATTTGCATGCGGCAGTTCATTTAAGAATATATTGAAATAGGATATGTTTACATTGTGGCTTCACCCTAAAGAAATGTTCTTTCAGAGCACTTCATAGCTCACTCTGGGTTGTTGTCTTAGTTCTTTTGGAGTCACCTCCTCCAAATAGATAACAAGGCCATTAATTTGGAGATTTTTTTTTATTAGTTATGCTGTTACTCTTAAGTTCATTTTTGGGCCTGTTTTCCTAGCAATTCCTCTGCTTTATAAACATTGATGAAGCCTCAGTATGTGATTTAAGCAATAGTAGTTACATTCCTGAAGGGGAAGCTAAGGCTCAAGGATATTAAGTTAGAGTTCCAAAAATGAATCATGTGTCTGTCCCCAAGCCTAAAATAGAAGCTGTGTTTGGGACAATGATCTTTTAATGTGACACATACAACTTCTATTCCTGGTCAAATATTAGTGTTTGGGAGAACAAGGTGTAAAGAGATGACAGAATATAAAGCACTTCTAGAATTGTTTAGAAATCTGTGACCAGGCATCAGTCTACCCTTTGGGGCTTTGGTTTTGTCTGCAAAAGAATAAGGTTTGAGTGATCTCTAAAGGCCCTTTTATTCTATCTGCTGCTGCTTTTTCCCTCATCTCATCAAATCATTCCCTTAGGAATGTTCCATGAACTATATATGGAACTCAGTAATATCCGTATCTAATGTGCTACAAGAGTATCTTAATCTAAAATACTCAGGGAATTGTGTGTTCTTGTTCATTTAAATTTCAGGAGAACTGAAACACATATTTTAGTTTTAACTCTGAAAAAAAATTTAATTAGTCCATGACTTTTCATGTTCACTGTTTTTTTTTGGAGAGATTTTTGCTATAGGGCGCATGCACTCACCAGACAGAGAGAGACATTAGAGACAGAAAGCGAGAAATCACCCCCCAGGGGGGATGGTCACGCCGTAATGCCTTCTCCTCCATTCTCTTCTTAGGATCTTGGCACACACGCACACGCGCCCGGCGTGAGTTTTAAGCCACCGGGTCCGGGATGTGAACCGCGGTCGACTACGTGGGAGTCCAGCGACATAGCCATTATATTAACTGCTGGTTCCCCATGTTCACTGTTCTTAAGTAGGGTTCTGGAAACACATTTTCACAAATGCCAGTAGGTTGCATGACTGGGAAATGACGAGCTTTTAATGTGTTAGAGTGCAGTTTAAGCTGTTTAGTAAGTGGCTGATACACTTTTCAGATCTTCTGTAAGCATATACATTTTCCCCCTTGACTTTGGTGTCTTGTAACTCTAGTTGTGGAACTGAGGATTAAAGGAAACGTGTACAAATGGTAGCAGGAAATACATGATGCATCATCGCCTCTAAGCAGGCACTGTATTCGTTGCATTTCTTTACACCAGAGCCCAGATAGACGACAGCACGTGAGAATTTCGACCTCCCTCTTATTTCTACGCGTGTACTTGTTATCAACGGCTTCAAACATTTCAAAAATAGTGAGATTTAGATCCTGAGTAAATACAGTAGGCGTTCTATTAAGCTAAACTATTTTAGCCTAAAATGGCCACTATACTCCCACACGTGGATTCCTATGGATAAGCCAGAATTGCAGGTTTTAGGCTGTTTTTCTGAGCTGGTTACGAAGTTACAGCCAGTCACACTAGCCACACTTCAGTCGGGCACAAAAGCTCACCTTTCAGACGATTCGTGCAGCCTACCATTCAGCTTTAACCCATCCAATGATTTCTCTACCTCACTCCCTCACTTTTGTTTTTGTATGTCACTTTCCCTTTCTGCAAACTTACATAAATCCCACGACCACACAGCTCCTCAGAAGTCATTTTCTGGGAGACTGCCTGATTCAAATTGCCCATCCTTTGTTTAAATAAACTGTTAAATTTTGGTTTGTCTAAAATTTTTGTTTATTTATTCATTTATTTACACAACTTAAACATCTACTTAACCTGTGCATTTGAAGAAGCGGATTGGCCCCTCTTAGGGAGTTTTTAGCATGTGGAGAAGCCAAAGAAGATGCGAGCAAATATTTGCAATAAAAGGCTACCAATGTTCTGATGGGTCCAGACAGGGAGCAGGGTGGTTCTTCTTCAGGGCGGTGATGCTTGAACTGAGTTTTGAAGGAGGACAGGCAGGGGCCAGTAGATGGTGTAGTGGTAAAGGTGTTGGATTCCCACATGGTTCAAGTCCTGGACCTAGTGGCTTGACAGTCACAATCAGGCACGTGTGCGTCAGTGCCCAATATCCTAGGTGGGGAATAAAGGAGAGGAGAAGGGATTGTGGCATGGCCTTCCTCCCCGGCAGGTGATTTCTCACTTTCTGTCTCTCTCCAACTCTTTCTGTGTCTCTTGCGAGCATAAGCACCTATACCCAAAAGCTCTCCCCCTACCCCCAAAAAAGAAGGGAGTGGTGTGGAAAAGAAAGGCTGTACAAGGGAAGATCCAGTGAACTCTAAAGAAAGTCCCAGTTCCAACTCTTTGATAAGCTAAGTGTGTGATCTTGTGCATTCACTTCCCTGAGCTTCAGTGTCCTCATACGTGGAAAGGATGAGAGTTAGACTAGAGCATGTCCAACATCTTTCCCCAATCAAAATTTTTATAGTGGGGTCTGCAAATGGCATGGTGGCTAAGTCACTGGACTCCTACGTGGTTGACTGTGGTTCGTATCCTGGACACAGTGGCTTGAAACTTAGGCTGGGTGCATGTGTATACATACCCCAAATCCTGAGGGAATGGAGGAGAAGGGATTGCGGCATGGTCAATCCCCCCTGGGGAGTGATTTCTCACTTCCTGTCTTGTTGTCTCTCTCTGTCTCTTTGGTGATCTGGTGAGCACATGTGTCCTATAGCAAAAATCTCTAAAAAAAATTCCTTTAGCACTATTAAGATCATTTTATAGGGACCAGCAGTTAGCGTAATGGCTATGTTGCTGGACTCCCATGTAGTCGACCACGGTTCGAGTCCCGGACCTGGTGGCTTAAACTCACGCCGGGCGCATGTGCGTGTGTGCCCAAGATCTCAAGAGGAGAATGGAGGAGAAGGGATTGCAGCATGACCGTCCCCCCCTGGGGGGTGATTTCTCGCTTTCTGTCTCTCTGTTTCTCTCTGTCTGTCTGGCAAGCACACATGCCCTATAGCAAAAACCTCTCCAAAAAAAAAGATCATTTTATAAACAGGGTAGACTCAAAAGAGAAAACTTTCATAGAAATTGTGCTGTGCTTTTCCAAAGCCTTCTTTTCACACGATTAGATGGCCACAAATCCTGTCATGCTATAGACACAGGCTTAATAGAAACCTGTTAAATCTAGTCCAGCTTTTTAGTATTGCTCAGAGTTGTGCTGTCATCAGATAATATTACCTTAAATGTAAACCTTAATTTTAAGAATATTTATTACATGAGTGACCTTAGTCTAATGGAAACCCAAATGTAGAGACCTCGGAGGTCCTGGAGTCTACTGGGATTCCTGTCCATAGTACCTAAATTTGTTAAGATTTTGTTCTGAGGACTCAGGCCAGCATCTAATACTAACGGATACATTTGAGAGGAAGGACTCATATTGAGGAAGAACATAAAAACTAGATTTTTGTATTAAAGCCTTCTGCAGTGGAGCCAACAGGTGGCATGGTGGTTAAGGTAGCTGGACTCCCACACGGCCAGCCATGATTTGAGTCCCAGACTTGACGGCTTGATAACCATGCCAGGTGGGTATGTGTACATTTGTACCCCAAATCCCAGGAAGAGCAAGGAGGAAATGGAAATGCAGTGCAAACATCCTCCCTGGGGAGTGGTTTCACTTTGCCTCTCTCTCTCTCTCTCTCTCTCTCTCTCTGTCTCTGTCTCTGTCTGGCAAGTATACATGCCCTATGATGAAAAAAAAAAGCTTCATGCAATTATGTTTTAGAGCAATATGCTCTTCTTTCCGAACTAGCTTTTGTCTCTCTACATAGTTGTACCTAGTCTTTTTGTACAAAGGATTTGAGGCATCTTGCCAGAATATGAACAATATAATAAAAGAAGAAAATTTAAAAATTGATTACAAAATTATAAAAATGAAAGGCTCAGGGAAAATATAGACAGAATTGAGAAATACAAGAAGGAGAAAAAAAAAAACTTATGCAGATAAGCAGGCTATAAGTAGCTGTAACAGTTCTCTCTTTTTTTCTTTTTTAAGGTTTTGCCTTTAGGGCACATGCACTCACTGAAAAGATACAGAGAGAAAATGAGAAAGAAAGTGAGAAATCATCCTCCGGAAGGGACAGCCACACCATAATCCCTTCCCCTTCATCCTCCTCCTGGTATTTGGGGCACACATGCACACTTGCCTGGTGTAAGTTTCAAGCTGCCAGGTCTGGGACTTGAACTGCAGTTGGCCATGTCCAACATCTTATCCACAATGCCACCTGCTGGCCCTAGTGGCTGTACAATTCTTAAACCCGAGCTACATAATTGGACTCTGAGCTTCCTGGAAAGCAGAGCAAAAAGAATAATTACAAAAGTGTCCACAACAGACATGCTTTCTTTTGGATAAGCAAAGCTTTCTACACTTTTAGGTGAAAATAGGATTTGTGGGTGGTTCTTTCTATGCTTGTCTAGCTTCCTGCTGGCTGTAGTTCTTAAGTGGAGCTCCCTAACCCAACCTCTCATTTTTAATGTCACTGTTTTCTTCCAGGGACAATGAATCACTCTTCCTGGGACTCAAGCTCTCGTGGCATTCACGAAGATGGAAAGCTCTATGTTGTTGATTCCATAAATGACTTAAACAGACTCACCCTCTGTCCTGCAGGATCACAGCATCTGTTTCGTAAGTGTGCCCATGAGGACTTGGTAAACCTTTCTAGCTTTTAGGCTACTAAACAGAGCAAATGCTAGTGTGGACATGTGGGTGTAGATGAGGGTGGTGGGGTACAGGGTTGGCAATAGGAATAGCTTGGCACTGAAAATGCTGTTTATTTTTAGGTAGTTTTTGCTTTTGGTCTCTGAATACTTGACAGTATTATTGGCTTTCTTAGCTCCTAAGCAAGATTTGAACTCCTGTCATCAAAAATTCTATGATCCTGTGGAGTTTCTGTCCCTGGAAAGGAGTGGAGCCTGTAGTGCTGGATCCTTGAAGTCTTGCTCATCCCTCTTGACTCTTACTGTGCCTCCCCGTGACCACAGCCAGGTCACTAACGGTACCCACTTTCTCATAGGAATCTTGTTTCATGGCCATTGCTGAGAAAATGCTCAACATAAGTCACTCTGCTTTTTAAAAAAAAAAAAAGCAAAAAACTTTTAATTCTTTGAGCAAAAAAGTCAACCTCATTTTTTACTTAAAAATGATAAATTTCAGGACCAGCAGTTGGCGTAATGGCTATGTCGCTGGACTCCCATGTAGTTGACTGCAGCTTGGGTCCCAGACCCAGTGGCTTAAACTCACACTGTGCGTGCGTGCCCAAGATCCCGAGAGGAGAAGGGATTGTGGTGTGGCCATGCTCCCAGGGGTTGACTTTTCTGACTTTTCACTCTCTGTCTCTCTTTCTCTCTCTGTCTTTCTGGCAAGTGCACATGCCCTATAGCAAAAACCTCTCAAAAAAAAAAAAAAAAGTTAAAAAAAAATGATAAATTCCTGGGTCAGCAAGTTGTGTGGCGGTTGAGGCACTGTACTCCCACATGGCTGACCGTGGTCGTAGTCCCAGACTCAATGGCCTGGGAATCACTCTAGGGATGTGTGTGTGTGTGTGCCCAGAACCTTGAGAGAATGGAGGAGGGGACTGCGGTATGGCCATCCTTCCAGGGGTTGATTTCTCACTTTCCCTCTCCCTGTCTCTGTCTCTCTCCAGTGTGCACTCATGCCCAGTGGCAAAAACCTAATAAATAAATAACATAAAATATAAAATAAATCTATAAATTGTCCAATTAAAGGTTAGGGAAAAAGGGGAGAGGAAACAAAGACAAAGATCTGGTAAATACTCAATGTGTATCTCACTCCTTAAATATTATGAGGTCTATCGGATTGTTCATATAGAACTTTCCTCCAATCACTGTAACTTTTAACTTCTTTATTCCCTCTCCAAAGAAAAATCCCTGCCCGGCTACTTCACTGCTAATACCATCTTCAACTTAAACACTGACATCTAAACTCCAGTGTTAACTGCCTACTTGTCATTTGCTTTACATGCACGCTAAGCTCATAGCTCCAGTTTTACATCTACCATTTTCCTTCTAAATCCTTTCTGAGTTCTTGCTTTTTTCTTCAGATTAACGGGTTAACATTTTCCCCTGCTTTATTGCAATCAGTCTCAATGGAAGTAGGTGTTTGGGTGTCGCCAATCCTGTTGCTTTGATTAGGAAGTAAAAGCTGTTGGGGGGTGTGGGGGTTGACATCAGATGTACTTACAAGACCTGGAACAGAAGCCACCCAACTATCCATCATCAAGTAGCACAATGTGTGGGGCCAATTTAATATAGGAGAGCCTACAAACAGTAACTCAATGACCTCCTTTTCGTGGGTTTCTGTATTTCTTATTAAGTTTAATCTGAGTGTTACTAAGTAACTAGACTTTACAAAATGGTGACTACATGCAGACAACTCATAGTTTCGATGAATCAAGCTGTTGTATAGGTCTGGTTACAATTTTAGTTCAACTGCAAACCATATAGAAGAATCTTGCTGCTGAGAACATGTTCATCCTGAGATCAGCTTAAGAAGCCAAAATACATAAGGGGGACTTTTATTTAAGTGGATATAGGGATACTTGATTATTATTATAATAAAAGTAGTTTCATGGGCCAAATCCCTGAGTACTCATTCAGTCTTCCAGCCAAGGTTGGTATCTACGCCCAGCTCTATTTTACTTTCAGGTTATTTGGGGGAAGAGGGAATAAGGCCTCCAATCACTCTAACTTTTAACTTCTTTATTCCCTCTCCAAGGAAAAATCCATGTCAGGCTACTTCACTGCTAACGCCATCTTCAAAGAACTTTCCAAACAGGTCTAAGAAGATGACTTAACTCTGCTTAGTTTTTGAATATCCACATAATAGTTGGTAAACAACTCACCAATTGCTCCTGATCAAAGACATTCCTAAGACATACATCACTTTCCAGGGTTGTCAGAGAGAAAAACGGGTATATCCATTACTCATGTCTCTTAACAGTGGGGTACTTGTTCAGTTCTGCTGACAAGTTGTCTGGTGAGGAGTTTTCTCATTGTTGTGTTTTGTTTCATAATAGCTCTAGAGGAGAAAATCCCAAACCTTGGTACAAACGCAGGAAATGGAAGCCGGAGTCTGTTTTTTGTGGGGCTGCTAATTGTGCTGATTGTCAGCCTGGCACTGGTTTCCTTCGTGATATTTCTAATAAGTAAGTACCACCAACTGGCTTTTCATTGCTCGCTGGTTGTTTAACTTTGCTCCTGGTCTGAGCCAGTGCTTTCTGGAATCAATGCTTACACTAAGACAGGGAGAATTAACTGCTTAACTGAACTTCATTGCTTAGGGACAAGGACCCCAGGCACGAGCCCACTGTGGAAGCCTCCAGAGCCAGAAGTTCACAAACACACATGTTAGATGTTTCTGGAACACTTTTAATTTCTCAGTTTGAGTCCCTTGCTGCTGAATGGTAGGCAATTTAATCCTACTTAATTTTACAGTTTCTTAATCCAATACAAAGATTTTTCCATTAATCCAGGTCTATAACATAGATTCACCTGTAGGTTTCAAACTTCCTCTTGGGTTTTCTAACTTGCACATCATCCTAGAAAGCAATTAGAAGCAACCAATGGCTTGTGCAAGGCCCCGGAGGCAGTGCTGGGTGTGATGAGGGTGGCTTCCTTCCTGTTTGACACTGATCAGGCTGGCGTCCTGCTCCTGATATAACCAGTCAGTCTGCTCTTGGGCTGGGCCATGCATGCCATGCCCTTAAGTGATGACTCAGGCTTTGTCACATCCGCCCCTCAATGGAGAGGTCCTCTGAGCTGTCAGTGCCACCCTTCTCTCCACCTGCTGTCCTCTTTCTCTGCATGCTGCCCCCTCCCACTGAGCTCACCAGTTTGCTCTCTCTGCTGACCCCAGCATACTGGCACCTGGGGTTTTTTGGATTTTCTCCCAGACCACTAAAGATAGAAGGAGCTTGAGTGCAAGGGATCATCTTTGATGCTGCTTTGCCTGGATCCACCATCTTGTCATTTCATGTGTCCTTCTATGCCTTACGGCCTTCAAAAATTCTTAACAAGAAGTGGAACCCTTGTCTTTGGATTGTCTCTCATGTAATTTTATTTAGGATTCAGAAGAGCCAGTGGTGGTAATGATGATGAGAGGGCAGGGTGGGCAGAGTACACAACCCTGGCATTGCTAACTCCTTTCTCCCGCAGAGATTCCTTCTTCCTTCTAGCTTGAAGGTCTTTAGTCGGAGGGTTAGCACTGAGGGAAGGGTGGTCTTGAATTGCTTCTCTTCACCCAGTTGATGCCCTTTGGCACTTACAAGCGACCATGTGAACTGTACTTGTAATAACTGTGACCTTGCATCTGGCTATCAACTGGGGCAAGTTGGCTG